CGATCATCCGTAGAACCTATTATGCAGCCCGGCTTGTAATTATCGAAAAAGCCAAAAACATGCTCCACTGCAAAACCTCAAAAGTGTACAAGTGATTATGTCACATCCCACACTATTAACCAATTTTCGTGTGTGTGTGTGGACACAAATACATAGGGATGGGGGTGGGAGAGCATATCTCAAAATGGCTAGAAAGACAGTTGAACTGTGGAAAATCAATAGACTCAGGTGGCAGAGTACCAACTTCGTCTATAGTCAAACATCTAATCCAGATGAACCATAAGATTGATATTAACTCAGCCTTTAAGGTTATCGATAAAAATGGTCAAGGGGGCTTATTAAAATATGCTAAGGCTATAGATATTCATAAACTTAAGCCCCCTGTGGGTGTTCAAAAACAGTTTATTATTACTCATAACCTACCTTGGTAATCCTTATTCGATTAGACTGCCAAACGTTATGTTAATTATTCTTAAATCCTTTTTTTGTCCCTTTGATTAATTTAATCACCCTTAATTTTTCTCACATATATCGACTTGACAAGTAAATGTGTGGGGGATCCGATTGTTCGAAATGTAAAAGTGCAAATACATCACATACCTTTTCAGATAATCTCCGTCTTCTAGTGAAGCTATCCAAATTTTATCGTAAAATCTCAATCTACTGATTTACATTAGGTGTCAAGGTCTCACTCTGATAAACACTGACTGTAAATGATCTAGACAAGTAATCTTAATAGATTTGAATTTATACCACAAAAAATAATATCAACTGAATATAAGGCTAGTTCCATTGTACAATCACTCACCTTGTTTGATAAAGTACACGGTAATCCCCTCTTCGTGCGTCGGTGGCATAGTGGTTAGGACGCTCGCCGACCATGCACATGGTTCGGGGTTCGATCGCCGGCCACGGACGCACTCCTTTACCTCGCTAAGCCAGAAATAACGCTGGTGAAGAGGGAAGATTGGGCATGAGGCTAGCAATCCCATCCTGTAAAATTAAACACTGTTACAGAAACTTTAAGCTCCTAGCTTGAAGCCCTATTTTCCACTGGGGAACGTGAAGGAAATAAAAAAAATCTCCTATTCTATGATTTATTCACCGTGTTCACAATAATTAAATTAAATTAATTCTATTAATTATAATTAAGTAGGCTTTATCACAGTGCTAAAGTCCTAATTTTAGGTGTGAGGTTGACCTACTTGTTAATCGCATAAAATGTTCAATTTTTTCATCATCTTTATGTCAGGTAAATAGGTTGAATACAATTCAGTGAGGAAGCTAATATATATACATATATATACTCTAAAAAGCAAATTCATAGGATGAAAGACCATAAAATATCCTTTTACTTTGATTATTTATTTTAGGGTTTTTAATCACATTTTGTCAGCATCGTTACACCCATGTGAGAAAACTTTATCGCAATTATTATTAGAAGAAAGACAATATTTTTTTCTGTAATGATTTGTGAATTTCAAGCTCAGAAGAAGTAATTCAGGGAGATGAATTAAGCATTGTATATGATACTTTGATCGAAAATAGCTATCCTGAAAAATTTATCAAGAAACACATGACAAAGAAAGCGGCGGAAAAGGACTACTCACTATCTATAAACACGAAGCTACTTTATGTACGACTGCAATTCAAGGGTGATATACCTAGTGAGATAATAACGAGGAAATTAAGAAAATCAGTTCAATCAGAACTTTTAATGCTGGCGAACTACACGTCTCATTCTCTACAAGACCGATGGTGCTACCTCGACTGAAAGATGAAGTACCTAGACAAGCTAGCCACTTCAAATTGTATCTACCAATTCAACTGAGCTTGTGGTGGAGCGAGTTATGTTGGCCGCTGCTCTAGGAACTTGATTTTTCTTGATCGCTCGAGAACATCTCCCAGCATGGCTAAGTAAAAGTGTAGTGAAAACCATTAACAGTTCGATATTGGACCATCTGGTGCTAACCGGCCAGTCACAAAGCCAGCCAGCATTGAAGAATCCTTCTCTATCATCTACCGTGTGCCTAATAAATTGCCAAAATCATCAAAGCACTGCATGCTCCAAACAGCAGAGGCTATTGCAATTCGCCTCAAACAACCAGTGCTCTGTGTTCAAAAGAAGCCCCTACTACTGCCCTGGTCTTCAGTGGAGACTGTTAATTCATGAAATTGTAATATTATCTTCCCCAATTTTTCTGACATTCTGCTTATTTTATGTTGATGCTATTGAGCTGTAATCTATCAATATTATTGATTCGATGTTATTTAAACAGCAATATTAATGTTGTTCATAACACTAATTCATTCATTCACTATAATGTGTATATAAATGTAGAGCCTGATGATGAAGTTATCGAAAAGAGTACTCTTTATTCAGTATCCATTCTTTTGAAAATTTTAATAGGCATCTTTAATCAGTTAAAAACATTATTTTCAAACATTAAATGAACGATAATAGATCATTCTAATCTATTTATTCAGATTTCTGGAGTATTCCAGAAATCGTCATTTAACCTCGCCTTGTTTATTAGCCAATCCTAAGCGCCGAAAAGACAGGAGGGTGTATTTATGTGCGTATGTGTGTGTGTGTGTAGAGCTAGCAACTCATCTCCTTAAGACATACACTCCCATTGCCCTCAGATGGAATCGGGAATACTCCTGACTTCGAGGGCGGATAATGCCAACGGGTGAAAGCTTTGCTGAAGACAGTCAGCCTATAATACGTTTTTCGTCAGAAGTGAAAGTAAGCCTAGGGATGTGGAAGCTCCACGCAGTATTTTATACTTGAAAGGAGTGTCACTTACATAAAGTGATGAACAACTGCAAGAATGACAATATCTAGCTGAGATCATCAGATTAACCATAACTAAATTTGAGAAGAAAAAGAACTAACATTAGTGCAAAATAACAAGGGCCCATATCATTTCGCTTGTCCTCATCAGCTGCATGCAACCAATAATCTTTATAAATTATAATGTAAGAGCGTCAAAGTGAAATGAAACATCAGAATGATGAGGTATCTGAAGTCTCACAGTATATATATATCTTGTTAGAGAAGCTTTTCTCGAAAAATTAGTTTGCTACTTAGCTGTTGGGGTGGTAACCAAAATCAGTAACAATCACGTGGTTAGAAGATCAGATGGCCGGAAAGAATCACCAACAAAAAACTATGGGAACAAACAAAACAAGAACCAATCGCTCAACAAATATGCAGGAGAATGTGGAGATGGATTGGACACTCTCTGAGCTGAGAAGGCCGCTGGGTGACATCGTGCGTCAGGCCATAGCTCGAGTGGAACCCGAAAGGGAAGCGACGAGTGGGACGTCCAGGGGTGATATAGAGGAGGTCGTGTGAAGAGGAGTTGAAACAGTATGGACTAACATGGATGCAAGTAAGAAGTACAGCAGAAGACAGAAGCAAGTGGAGACGTGCACTTGAAGCCCTATGTTCCACTAGGAACCCATGGGGACAATAATAATAACACGTGGTTAAAATAGAGGAGGTCGAAATTCGGTGTCCACTGGGTCAAATAAAAAGATGACGATGATGCAATACAGTGAGTGGAGCTCAAAAGGTCAAGAAGAATTATTGGTTATGGTAGTCAAATGGTAAAAAGGTGGTGGGGAAATAATAAGTCAACGAAATTGGAAAAGAAAGAGTTACTATAGGGATAAGTTACCAGGGTAACTGAAGTTCAGCTACGGATGTCTTTTAGACGCATAAGTCAGGTTTTGGCAGTTTTACTACGATTGTTTCAGTAAACCAAAGAAGAAAGAATGAAAGATCCTAGTGCGTCTACTAGGTGGTCATGTGTCTGTTAGGTGTTTGATTATTAAAGAGCTTAAACTGCTAGCCCTCTCTAACTGGAAGGTTCTTCGTACATGTTCGAAGAATCTGACCTTCTGAGGTCTACTCACAGCATTATGTTATCGTATCTTCATTTGATCCTTTGCACACCAAATTTTATTCTTCTCTTATCCAACTACGTGACTGTTGCTAATTTTGGTTACTACCCCAACAACAAATTTGTCAAAATTTAATTGGTGGATGGTGACTAGTAATGGAATCCAGGACAACGCGTATTTTGTCCTATTTGAGGCTCGTAACTGGATGTACCTGCATTCCACAGTGAGTGAGTAATGATGTTCCCACCGAGACTCGAACCGAGTGGCCATAGTTTCAAACGCCAGACCGTTATCCACTAGACCACTTGGGCCACGAGAGTCACTTCTTGTGCAACTTATCATGTTAATTATTTGATTCAATTTTAGATTTTCCCGTCGATTGGTTGAACCAAAGTGCTGGGGCTCATCCTGAATTCCACTGTTAGTCACCAATTAAATTGTAATTACATGTCCAGACATCGTCGAAGCATCTGCACAAGAAGCCGACATGTCAACCTGAGACGGAGCACTTCGGTCCAATCAATCAAAGGGGAAAATCTAAAATTCAATTAAACAAATTTGTCTGTTAATTATATATATATATGTATCTTTACTGTAACGCTTCAGATACCTTACCATCCTGATGTTATGCCTGGTGGCAGACAGAAGTATGCTAAACTTGTAACCTGGCTTAATTTAATAAAGATTATTGATTGTATGCAGCTGATGAGAACCAGTGAAATGAAATGAACCCATGTTACTCTGCATCAACGTTTTTCTCCTTTCCCTGCTCAAATTTAATAAAGGGAATTGTTGTAAGCAATATAACTAGATTTATTGTATTGTGTTGATTAATAAACTTGGCCATATAAGACAAAATGTATTGCTTCTATTAAATCAAAGACCGTTGAGAGTTCTAAGTATAACACAAAAACATGAAACGTAAGGCGGCACTGATAACTGACTGTACATAAAAAGGATGGAAACGAAATACACTTTCTTTATGAAACAATCTAGACAGTAAGGCTTTTATTTCAATCGATTCATTTATTTATCAACATTTGGATAGATATAAACATATATATATTTAAAAAAATATGACAACCTACCTGCTGCATATAATTCATCCAAGTCGGGATACCTCAACTGTGTTACCTCAGTATCTAAATTGAAGGAGAAAACAAAAACAACAGACGACGTTACATTTACGATACATTTGTAATAATTAAAAGAAAAGATTTGGAATATACTCATAAAAATAATAAACAACATATTTGAAGACATCAAATTCACCATGAGAGAAGAAGAAGAATTAGATAACAAAATCCCATTTTTAGATGTCTTAATCAGGAAAACTAACACAAGAAATTTAGAAACACAAGTATATAGGAAATCAACGCACACAGACGAAATACTCAACTATTGTAGTAATAACCCAATTACCCACAAAAGAAATTGTGTGCAGACATTGTTTAAAAGAGTTCTAACACACTGTAGCACTCTAGTGTTGAAGAGAATAGAGGAAAAATACCTACTAACCTTTCTCAAGAAGAATGGATATCCTCACAATTTCATCAAAAAGTGTTATAAATTGAGTCACAACACCAACAAGAAACCATCATCAAAGACTACTAGAAACTTCATCCTACCACATATAAAAATATCTCTGAAATAACAGCTTGAATATTAAAACCGTTTGAAGTAGATATAACACACAAACCAGCTAACACAATCACTTCATTCGATAATGTGGAAACCAAAAGATCCAACAGAAAAATAAAATAAAATTATTACTATTTAAAAACAAAAATTGTATGAACTGTAACAGACGTCACATCGGTCAAAGTGGGCGTCCCCTTCGAATCAGAATCCACGAAAACAAATTAGCTGTAAAAAGACATGATATTTGTTCTTTCATGTGGATAATTATGGACACCAATTTGATGATTGGGATAATGCCGAAATTTTCAATTAGAGGGAACACCGAAAGTGATGCCAGAGAATCCCTAGAAGCCTGGTACTCAAGTGAATCAGCGATTAATGTACAGACCAAATTTGCCAGCTAATAAAAGTAAGTCATCAATCACATGACAAGAAAGTTCAAATTCCAAGTCAATAAAAGATGATCAGTACAGATGTAAAGATGGCTGGTCACCAGGAGATGCAAACCTATCACTCATGGGAAATTTAAATCAATTCACTTTATGCTAAAAATTGCACTGAAGTTGTTGTCCAGAAGGACGACGAAAACGCTGCAACTGAAACAACCACCTCAAAGAATACTACTAATTGCAGATATCCACAGTATTCACTGTTGGCTGTTGAATAAATTCTCAAATAGAAATACAAGCTTTTTAAAGAATCCTTCTTGATAAATTAAGGAGACATCAAATGACATGCATCATACGCTAATTGGAACTAGCAGATTAATTGCGTAAGGAAAACATAGAATAGATCATGTAAGGATGAAGTGAAAGTCCGTTGTTATCACTCGTGAAGCCGGCTGATAGTAGATTGAAGAGGACATGGTACCGCTGAAGTTCAATTTTTGTTATTCAGCAACTCAGTCACTTACTCACTCCCGCCAAATTTACACCTAAATGTCTAGTATTACATCTTTCAAGTAAACTTCAGTGGCGGCAACTTATATTGAGGGAATATATTGAATCCTTTAAGGAAGCAATATACTTCATATTCCACTGTTTGAAACCATCTTTAAGTAAATATACTACATGTTAATTGAAAACAGCTACTCTATAAAGTCAGTTCATCACTAAAAACACGTGATCAAGAGAGTGGAAACGAATTCTTCTTTATAGTTTAACAACAAGTCTCTATACATACGACAACAATTCAGGGATGCTTTACCAAGTGGAGTAATAACCAACAAGTTGACAAATATAACTGAAAGAACTTTAAATACCAGTAAGCTTCAGATTATATTTTTCATACAATCGGTTATGATTCTAAAACTGAAGGACGAAAAACTTAGGCCATCTAACCACCTCTGATTCCATTTATCTACACATCTGCTCCTGTCAAGCCATTTATATTAGCCGTTGCACAGGGAATTAGTTGTTCATGATCGGGAATGCCTATCAGTGCGGTTAAATCGAGGTGTTGCTAAAACCATCAACAGTTCGATGTCAATTCGACCACCTCGTCCAAACTGACCACAAAGCTACCTAGCTAGGTAGCACTGAAGAGTCTTTTTCTATCATCTATCAGGTGTCGATAAAGGCTATGCAGTTACATCGACTGAGATAGCTAGGACATGAATTACGCACGCCTAGTCATCGCGTTCCTCAACGCGCAATGTTAGCTGACATAGGATGGATCAGGGTGGAAAAGAGCCAGTGGTGGTCAAACCAAAACCAACATGGCTTCATCAATCAATAAAATCCACAACAGTTAGTTTAAGCCGGCCACGTAGGAGGATGTAGACTTCCTGATTGGGGTCCTAGGAATGTTACAAATCAATGAAGGCTGGATACAGTTGGTGATATGGCCCAAACTCATCGTTCTCAATGGTGGAGATGCGTCCACTCCTTGTGACTTATAAGACCCAGTAACAGTATATTGTTCTTCAATATTACTATTCCTTCTGCCTCATATCTCTGTTTACTGTCTCTATATTGCGTTTCGTTTTACTTTGTTCTCTTGCTTAGTGTGCTACATAAAGTGTGTGAACTGGAACTGCCACACACCAGTGCAAAGTCCTATGTTGGAACCAATCAGTCAGTCAGTCATCTGTCATTGGCAGTGACGCAGGTTTATTATTATGGTGATATAAATGTCGAAGCTTATGACGAATTTATCAAAAAGAATATTTTGAAAAGTTGATCACGGATTGATATCAGTTAGAGAACCAACACTGGAGTACTGAACAGCCAGCTGTTTCATCCTAGTGCTTGGGAATCATCGCCAGTACGTACCTACCAAAAGAGTTCGAACCCATGTCCTTCCGATTACAAGGCAAGCTCGTATAACATTCAATCACTGGGACCCGATTCAGTAGCCAGCGCATGCATTCTAACTTCTACCAATTCGTGATTTAGCGCAACTGGCACCAATCAATGTCATCAGTGGGACATCTATCCTCACACTTGATTGGTTGGACCTCACTGATCACTGGTAACCGGAAGGTACTGGGTTCGAACGCCAGTGGGTGCGTACTGCCAGTGATTTCCAAAACTAGGATGAAACAGCTGTCCAGTACTCCCTGTGGCTGGTTTTCAATAGTTCTCTAACTGATATCAATCCGTGATCAACTCGTAAAAAAACAAAACTAATCCTTACAAACTAACTATTGAAAAGAATACTTTTTTGCTCAGCAATCAGTCTTTTAAATAACTAAGATTATTCAGTGATTCACACGCCAATATTGAGTTCACTATGAAACATGAAAGTGACGGAAAGTTTCACTTCCTCGACATCGCCATGGAACGTCTAGAAGACGGTAGTCTTCAAAAAGTCAATTTATCGAAAGCCCACATAGAAAGGACAATACTTTCATTTTAATAGCTTTTGTCCAAATAGCTTTAAACGCGGTCTAGTCAAGACTCTGTACTATAGAGCGAGGGGAATATGCTCTAGAGAGAAATTAGAGGAAGAATTTGAGTTTCTTGAAATGATATTGAAGAGCAATGGGTACCCTCAAAGGTTCATCAATAAGTGCGGAAGATCTAAAGTCACAAATGTGAAACAAATCACAGCAGGAAAAAAGCCAATCTACTTTCAGCTTGATTATAAAGGTGAAAACATTGCAGCGATGATCAACAGAAGGCTAAGCACATCACTAGCCATAGCCTATCCTGCAGCTAAGCTCGTCCCCGTCTATCGAACAACTTGCTCTTTGGTGCAATCAAAAATCGATAGATATCCTTCTCATATTAACTCCAACTGTATATACAAATTTACATGTATCTGCGGGAGCAGTTACATTGGAAGAACAAAAAGAAGGGCATATCTACGATTTTCTGAGCATGTACCAAAAAGTTTATGTCTAAAGGAAACAGATGCTTTAAACAGTGCCATCGTCAGGCATCTCCTCGACACGGGTCATGAGGTGGACGTCGAAAATTCGTTCAAAAGTATCAATAGGCAAAAGAGCTTAATTCTCCTTAAATTTGCTGAAGCCATTTCCATCAAGCGCCTGAAACCTGATTTATGCGTGCAGAAAGAAGCGGTTATCAGTCTTTCTTTGGCCTGGTAACTAGATATTTTTCATCCGAATGCGAAATGCTGAAAGGTTTTCATTGTGTATGGTTATTATTGTTCGGAATAGTGTTTAATATTGCATATATATATATATAATTACTGTATGCATATATTGACCGATTGATTTTTGTTTAAAATGAACTCTGTGCAAGTATGTTAAATTGTTTTTGTAGATACATTTAATAATGTCTTTGCCCTGTAAGCAGCTGACGAGAAGACAAAGAAATAATAGATGCTACCAGTTTATTCTGCAAAAACTGTAGTTCTTGCTTTATTCAAATTTTAAATAACTTTTGAATGTTCTTCAAACTCTTCCCATGATTTCGAAGTAAATTTAGTTTAGATTATATATATATATGTGGAGTTAAATCTATAAATCTGAGGGGAAACTTTTCCAGCAAAAATTAATTTTAAAGAAGGCATCTTCACTGGAATTATATATACACACATATATATTTACATACTACTTTAATCAATAGTCAGTGATTAACTGGTCAAAAGAAAATTCAAAATGTTAAGCCCGCTAAAAAATTATTTTTAAACGTCTACATCATAATAATAAATAATTTATTTGTTGTGTTGTGTTGTGTTGTGTTGTGTTGTGAAGCACTGGGCATTTTTCTTCGCAAAAGCAGCAGCAGAAATGTCATCTGTTGTTAAATGAAGTCACAGTTCTGGTGTACAGCTGACATTTACGTTATCAGCTGACCTATTTAGACTTTTTTTGTTTTAAGAAAAAACCCCAGGACCTTATTGATCTATTTTTATTCTGTTCTTGGATTAGTTTTAAAGCGAAGCAAATATAAGATTGACCTTCGGATGTAAAGATGCGTGAAATGTGAATCAGAATAAACTGGGATGAATTTTTGAATATATATATTTACGAAGCAAGTGGAGTTAAACAGTGGCGGTCAAAGCAAGATTTTAGAAATTGTGATTAACT